CACAGTCATCTGATCCCATCATGGGAACAACCACACAGAACTGGGGTCCAGCCAAGTTGACACACAGCTCCAACTATCACAGCCTCCAAACAAAAGTTTCCCCTTTTCCCCTCCTCCCTCCTCCCCCTGGTAACTGCTAATAATCTTTCGTTTTTACATATATCTTATTTTCTCAAAACCTATCTAGAAAATGTCCCTTCCCTCCCTTCCTGTCCTTGGTAACCAACAAAGAAAGTTTCCTTCCATATATAAACCTTTCCTTGACTTTTTAAAATAATGGACTCATATAATATTGATAAGCGCCTCAGTGCCCTTCACAGTAAGGTTTCATCCCTTCTCGGTGGCAGATCTGGCGCTGCTCAGGGCTGGAGGCAAGCTGGGTGTGGGCCCTGCCTTCGTGGGGTCCACCCTCGTCTTCCTCACATGGCAAGAGGAAGTAGGGCTGTTCCTAGCACGGCTACTCAAACCTTGCCAGGCCCAGAGCGCACAAGTACTGTGTCCGAGACTTGAACCGGGTCTGCCCGCTCCTGCCAAGCCCCACGCTGGGGTTCTTCCCTGCCCTGTGTGCTCCGCTTCCTGCGGCCTGGGCTCCCGTCCAACAGGTGTGACCGTTTCCCTGCCTCTTCGCTTTGCAGAGGGATGTTTGCTGGGGGACTGAAGGAGATGGAGCAGGAGGAAGTGCTGATCCGCGGCGTGTCCTACGATGCCATGTGCCAGGTCCTGCACTTCATATACACCTCCGAGCTCGAGCTCAGCCTGAGCAACGTGCAGGAGACGCTGGTGGCCGCCTGCCAGCTTCAGGTGAGCCACACGCTGTGCAAGCAGGGCAGGCCCTCACCCAGGTGGGGTCTCAGGTGCCCTCAGGGCAATGACCTTGCTGTGAGGGTAGGTCGGGAGGGCCAGAAAGAACAGTGAGAATGCTGTCCCACAAAGCAGACCGAGCACACTGAGGAGGAGTCGGGAGAGAAGGCTCTTGGACTGAGATTGGGGGCACCTGAAGCTGGGCCACCCCAGATGCCCCCGGCCCAGCTCCTTATGTGCTGTTCCCCTCATATTTTGTTGTTTCCTTCCCCTCTGTGCCTGGGTCTCCCTGCCACTGAAAAGATCCTACATGGAAAACAGTGTCTCATCCTGTGGCCTCACGGGTGCGTCCTGTGTGCTCTGGCCTTGGCACCATAGAGCTGCCCTTGG